GAGGAGGAGGAGGAGGAGGAGGAGGAGGAGGGATTGAAAATGCCTCACATGTACTCCTCGGGCATCTTTGTGATCTCATGGTGAATGAAGTAGAACTTGCCAAGGAAGCCAGGGTTCATGTTGAGAGATGAAGGTTTCATTCCCTCTTTGCACTGAGAGACACGTCAATAGAACTGAAGGTGATGGGGCAAAAGAATATAACATTATGTCGATTATGTGAAAGATGTTGATGATGATGATGATGATGATGATGATGATGATGATGATGATGATGATGATGATGATGATGATGATGATGGAGATGATGATGATGATGATGATGATAACATACTTTCGGCTGCACGTCATGCTTCTTGCAGACTCCTTTCTTGACATCTGAGCCAGTGTCCAGCTGCAGCCCACCAGTCATGTGACATCGAGCGAATATGACAAAAGACTCACGTCCACCCATTGATCGCCTTGTGTACCAGTCATGGCAACTTTGGTCTTGAAGCCTTGGGGCTCGCCATATGCCCAGGCTGAGAAGAATGTAAGAGAAAGAGGAGAGGAGAGAGAAGAAAGAGGAGGAGAGAACGGAGGGGAAAGAGGAGAGGAGAGAGGAGAAGAAACGCGAAAGGACGGAAGGAGCGAATGAGAATAAGGATGAGAGAGAACACAGGTGTGGACAAGAAAGAAAAGAGGAGGAGAAGGAAAGGGGGGAAAAGAGGAGGAGCAGGAGGAGATATCTTGGGTGCATCATATGAATCTGGTGGACGGAAGTCAACCAGTGTAATCAAGTGCCGAGCCGTCGAGCCACTTGAATGATCCCTGAAACGATCTTCACTGATACTGCCCCTCCCCCTCCCCCTTCTCCCCCTCATTGCTTTCCTCCTCTTCTTCCTCCTCTTCTTCCTCCTACAACTACTTCTACTACTCTCAACTACTTCTACTGCTTTCACTACTCTCCTGGTTGTACCACTACAACAACTACCAATACAAGTCCTTTCCTCCCTCTCTCTCTCCTTCTATTACATCGCTGGAGTCTCGGTAGAGGCCGATGTAGCAGTCGCCGGATCCGCACACGGAGCGAGAGATTCGCATCTCTGTGTCAACATTACTGCCAGGTAATCTCTCTCCTCCCTCCCTCTCCTCCTCCCTCTCTTCATTCCTCCCTCCCTCCCTCCCTCTCTTCATTCCTCCCTTCCTCTCTATCTCCCTCTCCCTCTCCTCCTCCTCTCTTCATTGCTCCCTTCCTCTCTCCTTTCTTCTCTTAATTCCTCCCTTCCTCTCTATCTCCCTCTCCCTCTCCTCCTCCTCCTCTCAACTTCTCCCGCCACATTCTTGTCTCCTACTCCTCACCTTGCTCGTTGTGAATGGAAGCCAGAACTCCTCCTTGCGCTTCACACGCGTCTACAACATCCTAGAGACAACAAGACCATGAGCGAGAGACGAGAGAAAGACGAGGACGAGGAGGACGAGGGCGACGAGGACGAGGGCGACGAGGACGAGGGCGAGGAGGAGGAGGAGGAGGAGAACGAGGGCGAGGAGGAGGAGGAGGAGGAGAACGAGGGCGAGGAGGAGGAGGAGGAGGAGGAGCAAGAAACTCGGATGACAAGCAGAGAAGCCGAGCAGGAGAAGCAGGCAGAATGAGGAAGAAGTGAAGTACACTGGGAACCAACTAGGAGGGAGGGGGAAGGAGAAGGCAGGAAGAGGAGGAGGAGGAGGAGGAGGAGGAGGAAGGAGAAGTTTTCAAGGGAAGGGACGGGTACCTGCCATGTTCCACTAGCCACGGAGAACCATCCGCTGTCATCCTCAAATGCGTGGTTGATAAATCCCAGCCTGAGCATCATCATCATCATTATCATCATCATCATTATCATCATCATCATTATCATCATCATCATTATCATCATCATCATCATCATCATCATCATCAGCAGCAGCAGCAGCAGCAGAAGCAGTTTCGCTCCTCCCTCCTTTCCTTGCCCTTTCCCTCGCCAAACTCCTCTCAACTCTCCCTCACCTGCAGTGACAATCGGCCGCGTACTTGGCACCAGCCGTCGCAGAGCTGTCGGGAGGGCAAAGCTGGATAGGGGCAGGACTTCAGCTGGAGAGGACGCGTAGGCGCAAACAAGTCCTACCGTAGCGAGACCGTCCCCAGAGCAGAAGCTCCCTGCTGGGCAATCGTCGCATCCTCCATTTGCAGAGGCAACGTAGCCGGGCCTGACCGAGACAGTCAAGATAGCTCAAGGTCAGCTGGGCAACAGCTGGGCAGGAGCTGGGAAGGCTCCTACTTGCAGATACAATCGTGGGAGCCCTCCGAGCTAGTCTTGTGGACTGGACAGACGTGGGAACTTCCGTCTCCTGCAGTGCAGAGTCAGGTGGATCACAAACACTCTACATCGACATCGACCTTCTCACCACAGTCATCAACATCATTGCCGTCATCATCATCATCCTCATTCACATCCTCATCATCCACGTCCTCTTCCTCATCATCCTCAACCTCATCATAACATCCTCCTCATGATCATCATCATCGTAATCGTCATCATCATCATCGTTATCTTCATAAGCTCACCAGGACAATAGCTTCCAGCAGTGCAGACGTTGCATCCTGTGCTGCTGCTTCCTGCACATCAAGTTACAACTCCCTCCTCCTCGCTTAGCCTCTCCCTCCCTCCTCCTCTCTTGTCCATCACTTCCTTCAATCTAACTTTGCCTTGATTGCTCTCCTCCCTCCTCCTCCTTCCTCTCTCTCATCTCGTCACAGTTTTGTTCTCCCTCCTCCTCTTCAGTTCTCCTCACCGTAGAAGCCTGCATTGCAGATACACTCCGACAGCTTCGACGACCCTTCCCCGCTGTTCGACGACGCCGGGCACATTTTCTTCTCCTTCCCTCCCTCGCAGTACCATCCTGTTATCCCGTCACTCCCTCCTCCCTCCCCAGCTGGCGTGCAGCTGACCTGCTGGGCACTTCTGGCAGGCATCAGGCTCTCCGTAGTATCCGGGGTTGCAGGAGCAGTCTTGGAGAGAAGAGCTTTTCTCTCCGCTGAGAACGAGAGACGAAGTGTGAAGAGGGAAGAGCGACGATGGTAAAGAGAAGGAGGGAGAAAGAGGACGAAGAGTTTTGGTTCATGAGCGAAAGGAAGTTTGGGGGTAAGAGGAACAGAGTGAGTGCAGAGGGGGAGAAGGCGGAGCAGAACAAAGAGGAGAACGAAATGGAAAAGGACGAAAAGGAATAGAAAAAGGAGGATGACAGATTGGAATAGGAAAGAAGGGAAGAGGAGGAGGAGGAGGAGGAGGAGGAGGAGGAGGAGGAGCAGCAGCAGCAGCAGCAGCATCTAATTCTACCTGTAACTATGGGCGGGGCAATCAGCTTTCGACGATCCTCCCAGGCAGTAGGATCCAGACGGACACTTGCTGCAACCCGTTGAGCTGTCAAAGTTGTAGTAGCCTGTCCCAGCTGTCAGCCACCACAATTGATGCTGCGGCCGTTGCACCAACCCGCAACGCAGGAGCAGTCTGAAAGGCCGTCGCTGCCGGACGGGCTGCTGGAGTGAGCTGGGCAGTTCTGCTGGGGGGATCAGACTGTCAAAGTTTCCTTTCGTCCCCTTACGCTGCTCGTCCCGTCGCCAGGGCAGAAGCTGCCGATGGTACAGACAAGGCAGCCCGTGCTGCTACTTCCTGCTCAACAGGTCAAGAACCACAACAGATGCTCCTGCTCCTCCCTATCCTGTCTATCTTCCTCCCCTTCCCCTTCCCCTTCCCCTTCCCCTGCTGCTGCTGCTGCTGCTGCTGCTGCTGCTTATCATTCTCCTCCTTCCCCGCCCCTCTCTTGATCCGTTGACCAATTTTCTGCATCCTTGTTTTCCTCTTGCTCCACTTCATCCCTCCTCCTCTTCAGTTCTCCTCACCGTAGAAGCCTGCATTGCAGATACACTCCGACAGCTTCGACGACCCTTCCCCGCTGTTCGACGACGCCGGGCACATTTTCTTCTCCTTCCCTCCCTCGCAGTACCATCCTGTTATCCCGTCACTCCCTCCTCCCTCCCCAGCTGGCGTGCAGCTGACCTGCTGGGCACTTCTGGCAGGCATCAGGCTCTCCGTAGTATCCGGGGTTGCAGGAGCAGTCTTGGAGAGAAGAACCAAGTGCATCACTGTAGAGTAGCATCAAACATCAAGGAGCAGGAGCAGGAGCAGGAGCAGGAGCAGAGGACAAACAAGGAGGAAAACGACGAGAAGGAGGCAATAACAGGCAAAGACAAGAGGAGGAAGAGGATATACCTGGAACTGTGCGGTGGGCACTGGACGGAGTTTCTCCCTCCGGGGCAGTAGAACCCTTCTACACATGGGGCGCAGCTGGGGCCGGAGGTCTGGCTGACGGGTGGGTTCGGCTCAAAGTAGGCTGCGGCAGGGGGTGGTCAGGGTACATTTCCCAGCTCGTCCTCAGCGTCTCACAAGGCTTGCACGTGCAGTCGTTGATGCTCTTGGTACCCACCGGGCTCGACGAGTAGGCAGGGCAGTCCTGCGCAACCAGTCAACCTCCTCATCTTCTTCTCCTCTCCTCTCCTCTTTCCTCTCTTCCTCTCCCTCCCCTCCTCTTCTCTCCATCCCATCCTGTTTCTTAGTTTTCACTACCCCCCTCCCTCCGCCTCTCGCCTTCGAAGCTGCATGATTACCCCGATCTCGTTCTTGCCGCTGCAGTACTTATCCGCAGGGCAGAGAGCACAGTCGCTGTGCGAGGTTCCGTGATAGGCAGCATTGCACAAGCACTGAGAGGCTTCTGGATCGCTGCTGGAGAACTGCGGGCAAGGGAAGGAGTTTTCTCCGCCCGGGCAGTACCTGAGCTGGCTGTCAGAGGGGCAAAAACTTGAAGGATGCAACTGACATGTTAGCAGGGCACTGCTTGCAGCTCTTGTCCTGGTTGTAGTGGGCCTTACCAAACCAACCTGAGCAAGCCATGAGAAAAACGTTCCTGTGAAGGACAGTAGAGAGCAGGTGGCTGGCGGCAGAAGGGGCAGGGGGTGCGGAGGACAGAGAGACAGTGGGAAGAAAGCAGCAACGAAAGAAGGAGGAACCAGGCAGGAGGAAGGAGGAAGCAGGCAGGAGAAAGCAAGGAGGAACCAGGCAGGAGGAAGGAGGAAGCAGGCAGGAGGAAGGAGGAACCAGGAAGGAGGGAGGAGGAAGGAGGAACCAGGAAGGAGGAAGGAGGAAGCAGGCAGGAGAAAGCAAGGAGGAACCAGGCAGGAGGAAGGAGGAAGCAGGCAGGAGGAAGGAGGAACCAGGCAGGAGAAAGGAGGAAGCAGGCAGGAGAAAGGAGGAACCAGGCAGGACGAAGGAGGAAGGAGGAAGGAGGAAGGAGGTGGGGGTAGGGGTCACCGGGAACGCAGGTGCAGTCATTGAAGGCATCGGAGCCCGGGAGGGAGGAGGCGTGAGCAGGGCAGTCGTTGACAATGTCGTCCAAGTCGTTGCCGGGGCACCACTTGCCTTTGAAGAAGTGAGACAGCACCAGGTGATTGAGCATTCAGAAGGAGCTGTCTCTTACCTCGCTCGCACTCAGCACACTTGCCGTCCTTGCCGTGCGTTCCAGGAGCACTGCACACGGGCACTGAGCAACTAGTGGGGAGGAAAGTTCGCTTCCTCCTACCATGGGCCGATCTCCGACGGGTTCGGGTCAAATACGTTGAAGTACGTTCCCTTGCCGAAGGTAAGGGGAGCGTTCTATGAGGAGAAAGTGAGAAGAGAGGAGGAAACAGCAAGTGTCTCACCTTAGACCCCTTAGAGTGGCCTGTGAAGACTCCACTGCGAGACCGCAAACATCACCAAAACACCTCTCACTCCCACGAGCACGATCCTACGTTTCGCTCTCAGGAACACCGTCCTCGGAGAACTGAGGGTCATAAATGTTGTGGAGCTCCTGCCAGGTTTATCAGTGCAAGGGGAACAAGACGTCAACTGTTCCCCACCTGACTTGAAATCTTGCGCTGAATGTCAAGCTTGGAAATGGCCTCACTGACTGAAACGGCGGACTGAGTCGGAGAGCCGCATGCGGCACGGCATGCGCTTACTTGACTTGGAGGGAGGCCTAGCGGCTGTATTGTCGTCGACGTTCACATGGAGAACAAGCACAAGAGTAGCTGTTGTTGACGTCAAGTCAGCACAGCCTGCGGTTCACCAACAGAGCTAGGCACACCTGTAATGCAAAAGGCAGCCACGATGCCGCCAAGGTATCTTGACCTGAAGGACACGCACGTTCATGTAACGTCATAACAGCTTCACTCCTTCTGCTCACCTTGACGACTTTTGATTGTCATGGACATGAACTGCAACATACGGCATAGGGATTGCACTGCCGACAGCCGTCAGAAGCAGCTACATATCCCCACTACTCCTGCCCCTTTGCACTTGCTCCCCTGCACTTCCTGTGCTCTATGTACTTCCTCTCACAACTTTCCTTCATCCTCCACCTCCTCCTCCTCCTCCTCTCCACATCTTCCCAAGGTCCTGACCTGTACGTCGCGTCCATGTCCGACAACCAATCTATTTTCGTCACCAATTGCAGGGGTCTTAGTAAATTCTAGGACCCGGTCCTATGACACTTATCGGTATCGAGGCTTGAACTTAGTCCGATTGCTAGGACACGAATTCGTAGTCATCGCTAGGACCTCCTATACGGAGGAAAGTTTGTTTGTAAAGTTTGGACCAAAGTTTGAGTTCAAAGTTTCTCAAGGCCGACTTTTGGCTATGACTCGGACCAGATTCCGAACTTCGGAAGTTCGGCCCTCGAAACTTTGGACTAAACTTTGGACCTCAAAGTTTGTAAACTTGGCGGTAAAACTTTCGTCTGATACCAGTCTATACCTGGTCAGGTTCCGCATGGCGTGCTGCTCGGAGTACTTCTTGACTGGCATGCTGCAGGAAGCGAAGTAGGCATGATGATAGGCGGTGCAGATGTTGCTGACTGGCGTGATGGAGGATGAGAAAGTCAGAATGTTAACAGACCGGGTGGATGACTCAGTGCTGCTGCCGCAGGAGCGAGACGACTATGTCACGCGGTGCACAAACGACCTTGGTGTCTACCTTTGACTTTGAGGAAGGATGGTGGAGGAAGATGACTGTATGCAGGAGTTGAAGTCTCTCGATAATTCTGCTTCAGATCCTCACCGTCTGAATCCACGGGAATGCAGAGGCTGAAAGTGTGTTACTGTATGGCTGCTTGTGCTACAGACGAGGGGTACATCATGGAAGCGAAGCTTACCCTAGCATACTTTATTATGTGAGAATGGCACTCGCTGAAAAGATGGGGTATGCAACCGTCATCGCGACAGCAAACTTGTGCTTCATGAAGACTTGTCGTGAGAACACTTCGAAACACCCTCGTGCTCTCTAACTGATCTAGGGTGCATTCCATGTTACCCAGCGGGATGCTGCTGCTTCTGCTGTAACAATCATGGAAGACTGATGAATGTCGGTCTGGCTTTTGGCCCAGTGGAGCAATGGCTCATGTAAATATGACCTTTCTAAACAATTCATGAAATTTGGATCCTCGAACTCAACGAACTGTTCGAAGCAGATTCTAGATGATCTCTTGACGGAACATATCTCATCTGACAAGATTCAGACTTGACATGTCAATTTGTCTGACTTACGATTGTTACTTTCTATCAACAATCTCACAGATGTTTACCTCTCAACAACGGTATTTTTGCAAGCCGGGATCTTCCTCTTTATATCATCAATCTCCATCGTTGCACCTTTCAGTATGATTATAGTTTTATGTATGAGCGTAATGCAGAAGATCCTTTTTGTCCTCTGTGGTGTTGTTGCATGTTGCAAATATCTGTGTTACAGCATTGTCTAGCGCGATTTTGAAAATGAATTTGAGTTCCGCGAGTACTGAGTGTGCATCTCCGATATCGTACATGATGTCATCCGTGATTGAGTACTTCACACCATCGTCAACAGTGATATCGTACATGATGTCATCCATGATTCAATACTTCACAACATCGTCAACAGTGCGATACTTGGCTCTTGAAACAATAGAGCGATGATCTTGACATGATGATGCACACATGGACAATTTTACACCAATCCATTTATTATCTCACAAATTTCACAACCACATCTGTCTATCTAGTCAACAAAGAATTATGGCATCAAAACCATCACTTGAAAGCCCCGCGGTGGTGTTCGCACGGCCCTTCATTGATGACAAATCGAACAAGGTTCTTAAAACCTCGTCATCTTCATTCAGGTAGTTTCTGTACTTGTTGATGATTTGCCATTGTTCTTCGGATAATTCATTGCTTTCGCGGTGAGAGCTCTCCTGCTCCGCTACCTCTTGGTAAACCGATTCTTCGTTCGTCATGATAATTACAATTGCTGAAACAGTTTTAACTTGATTCTGAATGCACCGAGTTGGTTCTTCTCACGACAGTTCTTCTTCTCTTGTCTTTCCAATCTTATGATCTCTGAATGAATCCGTTCTTGTTCTTCCTTGTAGTATCTTTGAGCGTATCGTCGTTCCTCCCTTCCTCCTTTTCCTTCCCGCTCCACGTGGGTTTTGGTAGCAGCGCCCCTCCTGTAGGATATTACATGAACCACCCTTTTCCTCCTGTCAACCCCCTCGATTAGACTACCCCCCTCTCCAGGCTTAAACACCCTCACCACCCCGTTCGAAGGAGCGACTGTACCCGGACACCACCCACCTTTTTCATAAACTGGGTTTTGGATACATTTGTTTTAAAGATCTATTTATAGACCATATTTCAACGAAAAAGAGTCCTTTGGAGACCTTACTCAGCAATGTGAAAAAAAAATGAAAGGAATGAAAACCCGTGCTGTCCAACCACCCTCCACCCTAGCCAATAATGTCCTCTACACCCCCTTGTTTCCCATAAGTATTGTTGGTAAATGACCCCGTACTTTAAGTAAATTTCGCACCCCTTCGAATTTAACCCCTCATAATCATTCGAGAATCTTCAAGCAACTGCTTTGAAGGTGATCGATTCTTTAATTGAGCTCTTAATCTAGACTCCTCTACCCATCCTCTCCATGAAGTCTTCCTATCACATGCCTGCTGAAGGAGAGTGAGAGATGAAATGAACTTCGAGTAAAGACGCATGCACTAATGCTTCAAGATTCATTAAATGGTGTCCTATGCAAAATGATACTACCCTCTATCATTTATGCTTTTACTACACACACTCAGACGCCCCTTCGACTCCTTCGATTTCCTACCCCCACCAGTGCAAATATTGACGAAATGAAAGTTCTTGCTCTTGTCTACCCTCATCTCAGATTCTTCAATTCTTCTCCGATACCAACTCACATACTGTCTAGCTCGTAGCATTGACCCTGTATGTCCTACAGGTCTCTTCGGGTACCACCCCCCACTTTTGGTGGCCTCCGCCCGTTTCTGTTGGTTTGCTCCTATCCGGGACTGGTATCGTGCAAGGAACCTTTCAATCTCCGTATCTAGGACCCTTGTTGTGAGGACCCCACAATTATTGACCACCCACCCCTCCAACGGATATTTTTTCATATAGATTATTATACCTCTACCCCCTATTTAAAGTGGGCTATACCTTGACCAGCCAGACGGATTTGATCCACCCGGGGGTATCATGTCTAGTCAGCTTCTTTACTCAAAGTTAAGTGAAAAATCAGTACGAGTCAGCTCTTTGTGACAGTTGTAAAGTACTGGGCGGGTGAAACTTTGAAACTTTGAGGTATAAAAGTCTAAACTTTAAACTTTCCACCAATACAGAAACTTCTGTCAGAAACTTCTCAGTGAATGGAGGTAGCCCGGGGAGCCCGAGGCCCCGGGTGCCAGAGCTGAAACTCAATTTGTACCAGTAAATTTCAAACTATCATCTTGGTATTCAAATTTTCGGTATGGATATTTAAACTATGGATTTTAATTTGATTTCCTTTGCTTCTTGCTGGCACTTGAAGGGGAGGGGGAGGAGAGAGCACAGCAGAGCACAGCACAGCACACCACACCACAGCACAGCACAGCACAGCACACCACAGCACACCACAGCACACCACAGCACACCACAGCACAGCACAGCACACCACAGCACACCACAGCACAGCACAGCACAGCACAGCACAGCACAGCAGAGCACAGCACAGCACAGCACAGCACACCACAGCAGAGCACAGCACAGCACAGCACAGCAGAGCACACCACACCACACCACACCACACCACACCACACCACACCACACCACACCACACCACACCACACCACACCACACCACACCACACCACACCACACCACACCACACCACACCACACCACACCACACCACACCACACCACACCACACCACACCACACCACACCACACCACACCACACCACAGAGGGAGATGGAGAAGGGGGGGTGAGAGGAGAAGATGAAGTGAGTTGGAAGCAGCAGGCAAGGAGGTATAGGAGGAGATGAATGTGAAGATTCAAAGGATGGAACGCCAGGAGTAGAAGGCTGTGGCGTGGAGGGGATGCAGCTTGATTGAGCTCGAGAAGCTAATATGGACAAGGAAGATTCATCAAGCCTATTGTTACATATATGTCTTTTGAATCGTGCTCATTTTCAATCATCTCGATGCTGCCTCCTCTTCTCTCATCGCTGAAGCTTCCTGTTGCAGAAGCTTCTTGTTCTCCTCGTCAAGTCTTCTGGTGCTGTGCACCGCAGCGTGCGCTGTGAGGTATGAGGGAGGGAGCAGGAGAGGGAGCAGGGAGGGAGGGCAAGAGAGGAGGTAGTGGAAGAGGAGACGAGCGGGAAGGAGGAGAGGAGGGGTGGAAGGGATGGCGGCAGGGAGGAGAAGGAGGAGCATGATTTCTTAACACGGCGACGTAGGATGCCGTACGTCGAAAATGGACGAGTGGTGGAGAGAAGGTCAATCATGCGAGTTTCAACGATATCAGGTGAGGCCTGAGGAGGAGAAGGAGGGGACAGGGAGAGCAGCAGGAGCAGCAGGAGAAGCAGCACAGTGAAGGAGAGGAGATGGGGCAGCAGCAGCAGCAGCAGCAGCAGCAGCAGCAGCAGCAGCAGCAGCAGCAGCAGCAGCATCATAGTGAAGGGGAGGAGATGGGGCAGCAGCAGATGGACAACCGTGAAGGAGTCGTAGCAGTATGATGTCAGATCATTGATGCCGTGGAGACGGGGACACAGTCTCGGGATAGGACAGGGAGCGGGACAGTGAGGAGGAGGATGAAAGCGAAATTTTGACGACTTGCTCTGCGAACAGACATGTTTTGGGCGTTTCTCAACTCGATCTTCTGCTTGTAAGTAGAACAAGACGAGAGGAAGAGATTGATTGTTGCCCGATGCTCAAATTTTGTTCATGTTACAATCAGTTGTATGGTTGCTCTCTGGTTTGCATTTGCAGCTCTGAAATGTCGGATGCTATTGGTTGTGATGCTTTTTGTCCATGAGAGTACGGTGACTGCTTGCTCGTGTTTGACTTTATTGTGTTTTTCAGCTTTCACTGCATGATATCGGTAAACCCTCCCTCCTCTCCTCCTCTCTCATCTACTCTCCTCCACTCCGCTCCACTCTTCCCTTCTATCACTTCCCTGCCTCCTGCTTTGTCCTCTCTTCTCCTCCTCTCTCCTCCCCTCTTCTCCTCTCTCCTCTCTTCTCCTCCTCTCTTCTCCTCCTCTCTCCTCCTTCTCAACTCCATGGCAGCCTCAGGCAGCTGATGATCTTGGCAACGGAAGATACAGCGGGCCATTCGGAGGTAAGAGATGACGAGTGACAGGGGGAAGGAGGGGAGGGGAGGACAGAGAAGAAGCAATTATCCTGGGATGCTGCTCTAGTCCCTAACGACAATTGCCTTGCTCTGTCCTCCTTCTCTACTCCTTCTCTCCTCTCCTCTCCTCTCCTCTCCTCTCCTCGCTTGCTCACTAGTGTCAAGGTGGGCCGGGCGGGCCTGGAGGAGGAGGAGGAGGAGGGAGAGGAGGAAGACGAGGACCGAACTTAGCAGGCCTTCGACGCTTCGAGACAAGTGAGTCGAAAGCATCATCATCATCTCCATCATCTCCATTATCATCTCCATCATCTCCATCATCATCAACAACAACAACAACAGCAACAACCTTGTGTGCTCTTCTATTCTCTCATCATCATCATCATCATCTCCATCATCATCTCCATCATCATCATCTCCATCATCATCATCATCATCATCATCAACAACAACAACAACAACAACAACAACAACAACAACAACAACAACCTTGTGTGCTCTTCTACTCTCTCTTCTCACTTTGCTCCAGTGGACGCCCCCCCCATGGGTGGAGGCGGGTGAGGTTAAAGCCTGCGAGGTGAGCGAGGAGGAGGGAGCAGATGAGCGCGTGAAGAAGGGAGAGAGCAGGAGGACGCTTAGATAAAGTTTGAGGAGGAGTAGGAGGAGGACGAAGAGGACGAGGACGAGAAGGACAAGGACAAGGACAAGGACAAGGACAAGGACAAGGACAAGGACGAGGACAAGGACAAGGACGAGGACGAGGACGAGGAGCAGAAGGCTGCATCTCCTAGTCCTGCTCTGATTTCTTGCTTCAGGTTGATCCTCGCGGGCGTTAAACTTCCGCTATTTGAAGATTTCTGTGACGTGACGCCACTGACACGGGGAGGAGAAACTTGAACAAGTTCCTCCCCGTCGAGGCGAGACGAGCAGAGAAGTGAAGAGAACAAGAACAAGCACAAGATCAAGAAGAACAAGAGAACAAGAAGTAGAGATAGAACAAGACAAGATGACTGACGGCAACGATGATCATGATATAACTGTGTGAATTAGTTCACATGATACTCAACATATGATGATCGTTGTAATAGTAAACAAGAAGAATCTGAATCTTCGTCGAGGCAAGCATGCGCGGCGACTACCGAGACAATCGTCCTTCATTTCAAACAAACTTCCTCCTCCTCCTCCTCTTCCTCCTCCTCCTCCTCCTCCTCCTCCTCTCCCTTCTCTGTCTCTTCCTCCTCTTCCTCTTGCACCCCCGAATTCCTCCTCTTATGCTCTTCGTTGCAGTCGAGGATCGTCCTTCCTCCTGTCCTCAACTTGGTACATGTGGGCCTGCCATGAAGCTCCTCCTGCTCTACCAGTCAGACCTGAATCTCTCCTCTCCCCGTCAACTCTCCTCCTCACCTTCTTTCCTCTCCTTTCTTCCTCTCGCCTCTCCCCTCCCCTCCCCTCCCCTCCCCTCCCCTCCTCCTCTTTCCCCTTCTTCTCTCCTCTTCTCCTTCTCTCCTCCTCTCTCCTCTCCTCGCTCCTCATCCTCCCTCTCCTCCTCGTGTCTCACCGAACGCTGAGTCGTCGCGAGCTCCAGCAGCAACAGCGGCGAAGCTGCTTGAGAGGCACAAGGAGGATCCAGCAAGGAAGGATCGACCAAAGAGGGAGGGAGCAGCAGCAGCAGCAGCAGTAGCAGCAGGAAGCGGAGGAGGAGGAAACTTGTTTTCCTTGCCCGTGTCGTCCGATGACAATCCTTTCCTTCCGAAATCTTCCAGCAAGTGGTCAGCAAGAGAAGGTAAAACTAGGAATAGAAGCAGGAGAGAGCAGGAGAGCAGGAGAGAGCAGGAGGGGAAAAGGAGAACCATCAGTGGCTTCCTAACCTGCATCAACCTTGAAGCCAGAAGATACAACTTGCTGCTGCTGCTTCTGATGCTGCTGCTGCTGCTCCTCCTCCTCCTCCTCCTCCTCCTCTACCAATGTCGCTGGTCCTGGAGGGATGGAACTCTCCTGCTCCTGACCTTCGAACAAGCATCTTCCTCCTCCTAGCGGCTGCTGGACCCCGAAGCGCGTCTCCTGCATGGCGAAAAACAGAAGCGGCGGCTGCCCACCTACACGGGAGGCGTGAGAAGAAGAAAACGAGGAAACAGGAGCAGAAGAGAAGGAGAGAGACTGGAAAGGAGGTCGGGGTACAGCAGCAGCAGCAGCAGCAGCAGCAGCAGCAGCAGCAGCAGCAGCAGCAGCAGCAGCAGCAGCAGCAGCAGCAGCAGCAGCAGCAGCAGCAGCAGAAGGAGGAGGAGGAAAAGAAGGAAAGAAGGAACTGGAGGAGTACGAGTAGGACAGAGGGAGGATGAGGAGGAGAATGAGGAGGAGGAGGTGGTGAAAGGAGAAATAGAAGATGAAGGGAGGGGGAGGAGGAGATGAAGGAGGAGGAGATGATGGAGGAGATGGTGGTGGAGGAGGAGGAGAAGCAACAGCAGCAGGACGAGGGTTCAGCAAGACTACCAGGTCCCACTTGAGCATTCAACCAGACGGAACGAGCCGGTCCATGAGGAAACGAAGGAGCCAACGACTCCTGAGCTTGCCTGCTCCTCCCTCCCGTCTCCTGCTCCTCTCCCCTCTCCTCCCTTCCTTCCCTTGTCCTCCCTGCTTCATTCGCACTGATAACTCCTCCTGCCATCGAACCCGCAGCCACTCCTCCTCCTATTCCTACTGCTACTCCTCCTCGACCACCACCACTGCCACCATCTCCTCCTCCTCCTCCTCCTCCTCCTCCTCCTCCTCCTTCTCCTCCTCCTCCTCCTTCTCGATGACGCTCAGTCGCTTCCATTTGTCATGCTTCCCGCCAGGA